CCCGCTGAGGGTGTTGATAAGACCGATGCGAGGTCGAAACTGCAGTCCACCCTGGATGCGAACAACTTTTTGGAAGACAAGGCTATGTGAAATTCAATGGAAACATCAGCTAAACTCATATCATTGTGTGAAAATTCTACTACCAGTCCTTCATCACCTTAGACGAAATAGGGTGAATATATCTCATTACACTGATTTACTGGTAGTCTCGAAACCCTACTCTAATACGAACATCTCAGTACTTTGATTCGTTGGCAGCCTCCTCTGGCTGTTTAGAGTTGACTTGATCCTGCTATCACAACTTAGTCTTGTTTTAAGGAAGACTTCGAATATTGTTGATATCACTTCCATTTAGAGTGAAATTGAGCCCAGCCGTCAGCTAAACTTAATATAACTTTCTGGTTGACACTGCCCTCGAGGCAAAACTTTTCGTTTCCGGCTAAGGTGTGCAGAGTTTTCGTATGTCATATGGCAGAAATCATCAGAGCCGATTACGACTATTGCAACTAATGAATGAAAACGGGTCAACAGGCTGTACACATACTCTTTCAATTCACATTCCAGTCTAAAATAGTTTTGTATGTATATTCGTGTATTCAATTATAGGTAAAGGCTTAACACCAAATGTAATAGAACCGAATAATCAGAGCAGTGCGTAACACCTGTCCTCAGTCATCAATGTTTATTCACCCCTTTTTGTCCATCACCAAAATTACGCAATGCTAAACACACACTTAATTGTGTTGATGAAATTTTTTTATGAACTCATAAGTACAGAATGTGAAAGCGCTGTTAGAACTATGATGAGCAAAGCAATAGTATTGTGGTGACTTTATTTCGCGCAAACTTGTCTGATAACGACGACTGAATACCGTCGCTATGCCGTGGCTTGAATTTACTATGACCTCCAGAATGACATTCTATTTCGGCTTCGGGCTCGTTTCAGTCCTTTCACCCGAACCGGCGGAGGATGCCTCGTGGACCAAGTAAACCTGAAAGTTGGAAGAAAATCACAGGAATGCGAAATAACGAGAATCATTCGCCGTCTTGTGATAAAATTGACCTACGAAACTGCCTATCAGGCAATTTAATACGGAATTAGATTTACAACAGAAAAGCTGACCCAGGAACTTTACCAAGATCCAGTTGCTCTTTTTATATATACAGAAAAATTCTATATTCGTATATGAGTAGGGTTTCGAGACATCTCAGAAAAATACTAGTTGCGTCGCCTCCTTTTTTGGGCGACTCTGCGCTCTTTGGATCATTTAAGTATAAGTAGTTTTTTAGCTAACTTTAGATATTAGGGGAACAGCTCTTTCGAACAAAAAGCGACCGAAGGAACTTATTATTTTATATTAGCCTGATCTAGATAATGGATAAAATTTCTCTCCCAAAGTGGGCATAACTAAAGAAAGTTTCATCGTTTCTTAAACAGCCAAGTTATCACATACTTTACTTCAAAATGTAAGTGAGCTCAACAAATGTAAAGCAAGAGATTCTTAGAAAGCACACATTTCTTCATGTAGACTTGGGAATAACCCACCTAGAACTGCGTCCTAAGGCAATGATGTCGTGATTTATTCCAATATCAGACCGTTGACCGATTTAATTATCAGACGAAATCAATGTTAATGCTCGAAATTTTCTATGAAGAAGTTTAACATGCGTAAATTTGCCATGCTGGAAGAACACATGAAAACAATGAGTACATTCTTTGGCGTTCCCTGGAGGCAAGCCTAAGCTGTGAAACCGAGATAACGCCAAAGCTAGGCAGTCAAATAAAGTTTTAATGTGCATCCCGTGCTAATAGAAAGTTTGCTTAGCAATCTTATTTAGTGTTTTGGTTCGACCTCATTTTCGCAACTTGGTCAGAGCGTCAGTGAGACATTTTGGAACGCATCTAGCCCTGTGTCCTCTGCCAGAGTAGGAGCAGTAGGTACAGGACTCCACAATGTCTCACTGAGGATCCGAAAAAGTTGCGAAAACAAAATCGAACTAACATCTTGGTCTTCATATTTACAATGTCGTCTATTGTCTGCTCGATTTATGTGGCGCGAAATCACTAATGTAGGGATGGTAGTGCTTGAAGGATTTCCTAATGGAAAGTGGGATCATGTTTACACACCATTAATTTCGTTTGAAGAGGCGGATGGAAGGGATTCTCAATTTGGCCTCTCTGAATGCTGAAAGAAGGATGTTACTGTAGATTTGCTCGAATACGACCTCAGCGCATCGTTCTGCTCCCCCAATGAATCCGTAATTAACATTTGTCCGTCCTGTGACGGATGTCGCCATCTTCAGAAACTATAAGTTACGACATGATCGCCGAAAACACTAAACTATACTCCTCTAGAAGTGGGTTGACCTTGTTGTCGCAACTTGGTCTTGTTGTCTGGGAGACATAGTAGAACGCACCCAGTCGGAAGTGGTCTGCCATAGTAGTTTTCATAGTTCCCAGCATCAGACATGGACTTGGTACATTCTCAAACGTTTCGCCGGTATCGTAGTCGGCATCATCCGTGAGTTTTGTTATTCTCCGCACCAAGCTACGAACTAGCCAAAGAGACAAGTGAAGTCAATCCCTCGACCAACGTTCTGCCCAAACGGTTACACCCGTGATTCCCAAAATGTGCGCCGCGAAATATTGTAAAAGCTTCAATTTGATAAAATGTACAGTAATTTGCAAGCTTATTCATCACATTAATTATTAATTATTAATTTCATGTTAATAGAGTTACAAAAAATAATGAAGATATACGAGTTTTTTTATTTTTATCTCTTACTTACGAATAGTCATACTTAGGGTAGGGCGCCATGGAAAAATTTTAATTGAAGAAGGGCGCCGCGACTAGGAAAAGGTTGGGAACCACCTGGTTACACTATCACTCCTCTTTCTGTCCTGGCCCATTTATCACCTCTTTACCCTCTTATCCAACTCCCGCCCTATCGCAACTTCTCACTTATTTACATTTTACTCGTCAAAAGGTAACATATTTTGGCAAGTTTAGTGTGGCCTCATCCCACCTGTTGTTCACCTTGACCCCCTCTCCTTTTATCAGCTCATCTGACTCAGGCCTCCTATCGAGATCTCTCTCATGGTCCCGTAGATCAGTTTTTTATCTTCCTGGTTGACCTTTTTCACACGGTTTCTGTCCTAGTGGGCTTTTTACTCCATGCGCTACTTCTTAAGGCCTTAGAAGCACGTATACTGCCGCGATACCGAGCAGATAGCCTGGGCTCTGATTCGTATACTTGCATTGCGTTCATGGGTTGTATCGGCAGAACGTTGGTTGAGGGATTGACTTCACTTGTTTCTTTGACGAGTTGGTAGCTTGGTGCGGAGAATGTTAGCAGTCATTGATGATGCCGAATACGATGTCGGCGAAACGTTTGAGAATGTACCAAGTCCACCAATATCTGATGCTGGGAATGATGACAACTACTATGACAGACGACTTCGGACTATGTGCGTTCTACTAAGTCGCCCTGACAACAAGACCAAGTTACGACAACGAGGTAAACCCACTTCTATAAATCGAAAGGAGACTGCGACAATATCAAATGCCACACCATCTTGGCCTTCATATCTTCGAGTAAGCCCTTCTGTTTCTGGTGAATTTTTCCTAAATGAGGGTTACTCGCTCTGACGATATCCCTCCGATGACAAACGAATGTTCAACACGGACTCATTGGGTTGCGAGACGGTACAGAAACACCTCCAAGGCAATCCTTCTTCTTCTTCTTCTTCTTTTTATTCTTTTTCTTCCGGTGAGGCCAATTCACGAATTCCTTGCATGCGCCACTTCAAGCGAAGTTAAAGGTAGCCAACATCTACCTATTAAAAAAGTCTTGAAATCCCCGCTTCTCTGCACAAAGTGTGATCAGCTTGTATCCGCGTTGACGTCCAGTAAGCGCATTGTATTCAGTATAAAGGCTGAAATTAAGTAGGCAAGGCATGTTAAGACAACGAAAGGTACTAGAATAATAATTTATCCTTCTGTCCATCCATAACATTATTTTGCGCTTATCTGCAAGTCGTTGATGGCGCCTGCACTTGGTCATAAAGTTGTCATTGTCTAACATAGAAACGGTCAAATGAACAGGCAGCAGAGGACAAACAAAAATTGTATGAATATACTCATGCACACTGTCTTATCCAAATAAAGCGCTATTCGGCTTATTCATGTATGAAGTGTTTTATTGGTAACGACTTGGCAACAAATCCTCAAATTTTGAGTTCTGGTGTGTCTGGGGTGTGGTTGCCTCGAATGAAGGAGGACCGCATTAGCAAGTGTTCCAGCCAGCCGGTATGACGACCAAATGACAATGTGGTTGAGGGGGAGAGGGCCATTGAAAGAGACCGAGGAGCATGATGGAAAGAGTGACTGGGCATTTGGAGTCCAGTCCAGTCTAGTCCTGGTAGCTGAGACTACTTCAGAGAATATATACCGTGGCACTCGCTCCCTCCC